GGGAGGGGGCGAGGAGAGGAGCAGAAAAGAAAGGCAGCGAAGGAGAGAACACACGCACCATCCATCCCCGGGGGCGGGATGCCCATCATGGAGTTGGGGTGCTGCATGAGGTTGGGCGGCTGGTACGGCTGGCCGCCCATGCTCATGTGCCCGTACGGGGCACCCGGCGACATCATGTGCTGGGCCATCTGCGGCTGGTGGTAGCCCGGGTAGCCCATCTGCCCGCCAGGCGGGTGCGGGTGCATGGCAACCTGGCCGGCCTGGGCCTCGGGAGGGATGACCAGACCCATGGCGACGCCACCGCCGGCATTCGGGTTCGCGCCGCCCTTCTCCTCGGACCAGAAGCAGGTGTCGGCCAGCTCGTCCTCCTCGATGATGAGGGTTTCCTGCGGTGGTGTTCACGGATGGGCGCGGGCGGGGGGCACAATGGTCAGTCGCAAGGAGAGGCGCGGCACCTCGGGAGGCGGAGGGGAAGAGGGGGAGAAAGAAGAAGAAAAAAAAACCCCAACCCAAGCAGCCCAGTGGCAAAGGAACGCGAGGCAGGCGGCGGCGGCGGCGGCGGCGGCGGAGGGGAAGAGCCACTCATGGCAACATACGTCGACATTCAGGTTGCGCGGCATGCTCTGGGGCGTCTCGGCCGGGGTGGCAGCGGCGGCCGCCGCGCCGTCAGGCCCCTTCGGGGCATTCTCCGGGTTCTTCAAGTTCTCCACATGCTTCTGCAGCGAGGCCGACACGTCATCCATCGGCTGGACAAAGGTGGGCAGGGTGAACTCGAAGTGGCCCTCGATCGCGCGGTACTGATCTAGGTAGGCAAACATCTTGGCACTGAGGGCGGTAAATGCCTGGTAGGTGTCCAGGGAGGACTGGGCCTCGGGGTACTTCATCTCCATGCACTCGTCTGGCATGGGACCACGCGATCAGGGGGGTGGGGGAGGGGGGGAGGGAGCCAACCCCGGGGCGCAGCAAGTGTCAGAGAGGAGGCGAAAAGGAAGAAAAAAAAGGGGGAGATGGCGCCCGGCACGCACTGAGGATGTCAACGATGCCATCATTGGCCGAGCCATACAGGCGGATGATGTCGCGCAGGAGGGTGTGCATGAACTCGATGGACACCGGGGTGGTGAGGATGTCCACCCGGGGGTTCACCTTCATGGCGCCCTCGATCAGGGCGATGATGTTCTTCAGGTCCGACACCAGGGAGGACAAGCGCAGCTTAGCCAGCAGGCGGCCAGCCTCCTTCAGCGGGCGACGGACATGGTCGAAGCGAGACTCCTTGAAGATTTCCACCTGCATGCGGGACGGGGGTGGGGGGGTGGGGGGGAGGCGGCATATGTCAGTGTCGGAGGATGGGTGGACAGCGGCGAGGCGCAGCGATGATCACGCACGCGGAGGCGGATGTAGTTGAGGTACTCCTGGACGAAGGGCGAGAGGGAGTTGTTGCAGGCTGCACATGCGTGTGTGTGTGTGTGTGTGTGTGTGTGAGTGTATGGGGGTGCCGCCAGCGGCAGGAGGCGTTCATCATCGGGAGGGCAGTGAACGGGGGGGGGGGGGGACATACGCCGGTAGGTGTCCAGCAGAGCGGGGTGGTCCATGATGTAGCGGATGACGACCTCCTGCTTGTCGGACATGAGCTCATGGATGAGGATGGCAGCCTTGAGGGTGACCTGCGGGAGGGCCAATCCACGAGGAGGGGAGACGGGGAGACATGGAGGAGGGGAGTAAGTAGGGAGCGGGCATGAGGGCCGGCGAGAGGGAGGCATGGCGGGGCAGCACATACGAGGAATTGCTTGGAGCCCAGGCGCGAATCGATGAGGTTAAAAAGCGGCTCGATCTTGTTGTCCTTCTCGCCGATGTATGCCATCAGGGCTACACACCGCCCGCCCCCGGCCAGGGGGGAGGAGGGAGGGAAAAAGCGGGAGGCCAGGGTTAGATAGGAGCCGACGCGCGCGCGGGAGAGCGAGGCTCGGGGAAGGACCGCCGGGAGGACGCACAGACTTGGTGGCGGTCTTTGGCAAGGCGAGTGTCGTTCTTGGTGCACTTGATCACCACCACCTCGAGATCGCTCACATTCCCGAGAATGAGGCGCATGCGATCACGAAAGTTGGAGAACATCTTCACGTCGGACACACCGGTGGAAGCGGGAGGGGGGG